AAATAGTATCTTTTCAAACGTGGCCGATCCCAATTTAGTTCGATGTTTGGTCATTATTTGACCAAGGCTGTTAAAAGCGCGTTCGACAGACACTTGCGTGCGAGGTATCTGCAACACTGTCTCTGCAAGCATAGCCATTTCAGGATCAATTTTTCGGTTCTTGTTCCACCATGCAACCACATCTTCGTCCAGGGGCAATGATGGTTTTAACCACAGCTTACGGATACGCTATTCGATATGAACTGACTACGACAAATGATTTCGGAAATCCAAGACCCCTAATCGTACTGCCAGGATCGTACACTGTTCTCCTCCGTGTCTCTCTCTTGTAACGCTGTGCGGTTTTTTGTTTTTTTTTCTTTCTGTAAATATTTTATCGATTAAGTTCAACTAAATTTAAAATAAAATTCATTTCATTATTTAAATTTTCATTTAGATATCATTCAGTAGCGAAATATTTCGTGCGTTTCATATCGAAGTTACGCGTTATTTATGGTTAGGTGTCCTGGATAAACCTTTTGCTATAAAAAGCTCATCTTTATAGATAGTAGCTTTTATTGCACATGCTTTCGGAAGGCGCGATGAAATACTTTGCCATTCGATTAGTTTGGCGCAATTTTTGAATAAAAGAATCGTTTTTTAAAAGACAACCTTAATTTATAAAGAAGAATGTCGTTAGGAACTTTCTTCCCCGCGAAAGGTACTCTGACTCGGCCATTTCGCTTTCGAATCGGCTGGTGAACAGAAGTGCGCCAATTAAGTTCTCGTTAAAAGTCGTTTGTGCATTTAGAATTGCCTTAAAAGTGTAGCTAAGGTAGTTTTAAATTCCGCGTAGTCTGTTCGTTTTGTTTCAGTGAATTTTGTACGCGCTGGATTTTTATCTTCAGTTCGGCTATCGCAAGGCCGGACAAGGGGTCCTGTTAAGTGGCATCTATTCCGTCGTCCGTGTGAAACGCACCATCAGACTCGTGCGCCAAGCGAAGGCCCGCCTGTTCAAAGGTAGCCAAACGGAGAAGAGTGAAGTTCGCTATTCCACGGAGCGAAACTTTTCCGACGGTCGCAAATCAACCGTCGACGAGGTCGCTTTTCCGCTACAACCCCTTGTGGACCATTCTTTCTGAGAGCGCGGACCGTTTGAGTGCGTAGCCAAGAGCGTACTACGGTCCGGATTCAATCCAAGGAGAAGGGTGGGTTTCATTCCATCCCGGGCGGTCATAGCGGAAGCTTAGTACGCGAAGCCGTGCGGCGGTAAGTTGGCCCTCTTTTCTCTGAGGGGCGAATCTCCCGGGAAAGCACGACTACGGTCGATGCTCAGCTCTCGACGTATTAAATCGGAAGGCAGCCGCCACTCTCTCCGCAACTCTAGTTCGGCCATACTGCGCACGGGTCACCTACATCGCTGCTCGCCATACTGCAGCTCATGTGCGGCGCCATCACGCCTCGCCGCCATCGCCACGCTAACTGGAAGGTCGCCTTCCGTCGCCATCATCGAGTCGTCGAGTCCCCACCGTCAGCCATCATCGAGCCGTCGTTCTTCGCGTCGAAAAACCTGCACAGGTATGTTAGAGCACGTTTTTATTCATGGCCATGATCAGGGTTACTTCCACTCACTTGCTATAAAAAAATGTTTTTCGGAATTATGAAATCATGAAATAGTATAATGCTAATTAGTACTTGTAAGTTACAAGAAAAGGTCATGAAGTATATATTTGACACATAAAATCTGTCAATATTGCTTTCAGTGCGTCACAATCAGCGATTTTACGACTCGTGAGCGCTCACTCTGAGTGAACGCTCACGAATCACAAGATCGCTGATTGTGACGCTCCGAAAGCGAAATTGGCAGGTTTTATAAATCAAACACATACTTTACACCCTCTTCTTGTTACTTACAAATACAACATATCATTATAACATCTAATGATTGCATAATTCCGAAAAATATTTTTTTTATAGCAAGTGAGTGGAAGCAACCCTGGCCATGATTTGCTCTTTTTCCGTACACTCATCCAGAAGTCCAACCCGAATAAACGAACTCAATAATAGTGTTTAATGAAAATTGAAGATTAGTTTTTTATGCTTTAGAATGTTTTTTTCCCCCTGGAATAAAAGACACTCGCTATCTTACGTTCAGTTTTTCCTTCGATTACCGCTCAGTTGAGTAAGAATTCCTTCTTTCTCTTTCCGTTTCGTTCATGTTCTGGGTAAGTCAGAGTAATTCTTTCGTTCCGATAATATCTGCGGTTCTACAGGAAAAAAAAAGCTAGTTGTGCCATTAGTAATCGGAAACCGTTCAAGAGGTTCTCTGAGATAAGGTCTCATAAATCGGGCAAAATTCGAACATGACCAGTGGTCTCTCCTAATTGAGAGTGGCGCTTAAGCCACTGAGTTTTACGAAAACCTCAACGAAAATTCGTGAACGGTTACACTCTCTCTCTTCGTTTTACGTTCGTGCACGATAGGGAATGCTCCTGCTCTCCGTTAGAGCGTTCGTGCACGGCGAGCAACGAAATTTTTCTCCGCGTGCATCGTGTTTTCTTCTCGAAGTGTGGGTCAACACATACACTTCCTAGGTACACGTGCGAGTAAAAGCCAAGCCTGTCTCTGGGGACTGGTAGTAAAGCAGATAAAATTGTATGGAGAAATTGTAGCTTGTTTAGCATTAATTTCTGGGAAAAAACTGAACGACAAAGCCCATGACTTAATTCTTTAGGTTGTCGTTCACTTTTTTTGACCCGAATATGCACCAAAAGCGAATTATTCCCACTTCTCTCAATTTATATACGGGGATTTTTATGACTTCCTACCAGCGGAACAGCGCCATCTCTGTGGAAAATGGTCGAACAAAATGATTAATTACACACATATCTGAAATTCACAGACATTTTTCGCAAACTTCTGAAAAAAGCTGGCATCTCTGAGGGCGTGTAACTTTACTCTCTACACGCTATTCCAAAACTACCCTAATTTGGGTAGAATCAACCCAGATTGGTCAAAACTAAACCTACCCAAAAATGGGTAAACTATGTTGGGAGTGACAAGTTGACAAATGAACAAAGTCGATCGGATTCATGTCAATGTTGTCCATTTGTCAACTTTTCACGGCCAACATAGTTTACCCATTTTTGAGTAGGTTCAGTTTTGACCGATCTGGGAGGATTCTACCCAAATTTGGGTAGTTTTAGTATAGCGTGTAGTTAAAAGTGACAGCTTAGTTAAAAGAGTTTCCTAGAGCCGCTGATGAAAACAATAATCATTTTAATGTATACAATGCAAGCAGTAGCAATGTATCATTCATCTTCAGGTAAATTTGACACTAGAAATCAGGGTTGCTTCCACTCTCTTGCTATAAAAAAAATGGTTTTTCGGAATAATGAAATCATTAGATAAATATAATGATATGTTGTACTTGCAAGTAAGAGGTTGAAAAATGTGTGTTTGATTCATAAAACCTGTCAATATTTCTTTCAGAGCGTCATAATCAGCGATCTTATGATTCCTGAGGGTTCACTCAGAGTGAGCGCTCACGAATCGAAAAATTGCTGATTGTGACAGCGCTGAAAGCAACATTGACAGGTTTTATGTGTCAAATACATACTTCACGAAAACTTCTTCTAACCTTCAAGTACAAATAACCTTTATAACATCTCATGATTTCATAATTCCGAAAAACAATTTTTTTATAGCAAGAAATTCTAGAAATTTGTGTTGAAAAGAGTTACATCCACCGTTCTCACATACCCTCACATACCATACATATTTCTGAGTATTCCAGATTTTTTTCCGATTTTATATTTCAACATGATCAGATTTCCCTGAAACTAACCACGCAACGATGCCCCTTGCTTATGACAAATTTGTAACTCTATCACTCACTTCAACTTTGGGGCTGTCCGAAAACTAGACGTAAACGACGGGGAGTGACTCTATCTACGATGCAGGAAAGATTTTGTTTTGCTGTGTTTAGCAAATTGATGACGATTCTGATGATTTCATGCAAAAAGAAGATCCACGATGCAAGTAGATACGAGAAATGCCGATTTTTTCGTAGATTAATTCGCTAGTGTGGGATTTTTCGAGCATCCAGAATTGCGATTTAAATATGACGCCCCCCTCGGACGTAAACTAAGTTCAGATATATCAGATCCCCCCAGCATATGTTTATATCGTTAGCACTCACCAACTGTCTACGTAGTATATGGATGACCTATTTTACAATCACCCGGTTTTAAATAAGGAACACTAGTAGATCATTGTTTCAATTCATGCTCAATCCGTAACTGTATATTTCAACCATCGCTTCCATGAAATCCTTCCCCATCGATATCAGATCAACATCTTTGTGATTTCAAATTCACCCTCGAAATCGGTTTCCGTTTCAACCCCATGCTCATAAATTTTCCCATCGAAGAACCCGTGTATGTTGCTCGCTCTCAGCTCCAGTTACGAACGGCTGTACAATTTACGATCTGGTATAATTAATTTGAGTTTATGATTTTAACCTTTTCACAAGTGAAGACGTCGTCGTGATGAATCAACGAACGCATAGCAGGTATGGGAGAAAAATGACCATAATTCCAATCCCTGACAGTGATGTCGGGTTCATTAATCATAGTGCGACCCCTGCAGACTTGAAGTAGAAGCGATGATATCATATGATTCTGCCTGCCTGTGGAGAAGGACATCTCCATTTTGTACCATAGTGTATATTTTGTATATATAGACAAATTTGTATATTTTAGGCTGTACACTTAACACACTACTACACGGAACAAACCAGTAACACTGACCCTTGTACAGATTTGCATGATTTATTTCCCTGATAGCACTTTCGCAGTATCAGAGTACTGTAACTAAAACTATCCAACATCACCCACTGACCCAGTTTTGCCTTAACACACTGTACCCATTAGTCTTTTCCCCATTTTCCCCTCTCTGGTGGTCGCCTCTAGCCTAATTCTATTCTTTTTCTCTATCCGTTGTCTCTTTCTCTCTTCTAGCGGACTACGGATCATTGCTTGGCAAGTCGGCTCTCGATAATGATTCCGATGATCCGGAGGTGAGCGTTATTAGTGAGATTACTAACGAGCTACGGCTGCTGGCTGAAGCCAACAAAAAGGGCGACGAAAACTCCCTGGCCGGTGAAATACGACCCACCAAAACTAGACAGAAGCGACAGGCAATTAATAGTCGAACCAACCGGAGGAGAACCACTCAACGTGAGCCGTCAATTACGAATCGGATCGATTCAAGATATTACTACTCGGATGATTATTACGATTATACTACTACCACTACTCCACCGAGGCAGGCGAAAAATTTGAGAGATAATTATGCTGAATATCGACAGCAATCTAAAAGCAAGAGCTCGATAAATGAAATCAAACCAAGTCGTCCGAGAACCGTTGGTAGCCAAAGTACGTTGACGAGAAATACGGCGGCGCGTTCAAGGAATCGAAACACCTTAAAATCGCTGGCATACAAACCAAACTACAATGCTAACACGAGAAGACCGACATTTACCCTATCCGCATACGGAGGAAATAACAAAGCGCCATCTCGTGGCACTGCCAGACGTGGAGTAAGCAGCCGTACCTACAAGGACGAAGACTTCCGTGGTAATCGCTTTGGTCACACGACTGCCTCCGATTGGCGGAAGAAAACTGTTAGCTTGGGGAGCACTAGCCTACAGCCGAGTACCCCAGCGTTGACCGTCACTTTCTATTTACCAACTGATACCACTGTGTCGCTGGTTACGAACTCCAAGACGGAGATCAGCTTGATTAAAACTACTACCACTAGCATTGAAGAGATCTGTACTTCGTGCTTCTCGTTAACTCAAGGACCCAACGGATTGCCCGTTCATGTGCTCAACAAAGAAATTACCTCCTTCAATCGAGATGGACAGTTTGAAATCACCAAGTTTATTCTAAGTTCCACTCCGACCACTACCATATCAGTTTCTTCCAACACATTCCGAGGTCGTCAGACAGCTTACACTGCCACTATTTCGACTACCATCTACGAAGCGAACCCTTTCATTCAGACTAAAGGCAACAGCAACAACCAGAACAGTGCTATCCTTTCAAATGCTCCCCTGGCCAATATCCTTCTGTCGCAGCTTCTGCTTGGGAATCTCGGAGTGGGAGAACCCAATTTGGCACCTCGACCTACGGAGTTCATTCCAGATCCGAACCGATATCAGCTCGTAGTAACCACAGTTACTGAGTACAAAACTCACGTGAAGGAAATTGTCACCACAGTCACCGCAACGAAATCCATTGTCCTTCCTATAACATTCCAAGGTCGTGAAATCCTCACCACCGTGTACGAAACTGACGTAACCCCCACAGTCATAACGTCGTTCCTCACCGAGACCCTTACGATTCCTACAACCTCCACGATTCGCATTCAGCCGTCTACGGATGACTTCCAGAGCAAACTGAGCCTTCTGTTGCCGCTTCTAGAAGAACGTGAACGGCGAAACCAACTGCTCTCAGCTGCAGCTGCCGAACCAGTTCTGCCAATTGTTTCAACGCCACCTCCAACGTCGATACCTCCATCCAGCGCGTCCATATCGAAGGTCTACATCTCCGGGCAGCATCCGGGTGAATTCAGCGTGTCATTCACAACCATTCTTAACACGTAATAGCGCATACGGCTAGCTGTCGCCAGCGCGATGGTTATAGCCGTTCAGGTCTAGCCAGAGTCATTTTTAGGGTACCCAATAGCTACAACCTCAATTCTTAACCCTAACATCTCACCACCTGTGTCGTTTTCCTCTTTTTCAGAATTAGAATCAATTAGGATATTACTAAGTTCGCGAAGCTGCCAATTTCAACATTAGTCAAAACAAGTAGACGCGTGCTAACACATACAACGACACGAGGGAAAGAGAGTACTTTAACCTATGAAACCAAGAGAATACTCGACACGATGGATGCTAACATACAACTACAGCTGAAACTTATTCGTCGTTACCGATGTTAGTGTAGAGATGTATTGTATTATTACACCTTTTTTTGTAGGACGTTTATTTTTGTACGAATAAAAAGACAATTTAATTATTCAGTGTAGATGATCTTTTGCTGAGAAAGTCTTGCCTTCTGCCACTGATTGGTTTGTATCGTTCCGAAGGAGGGTAAGTACTGTGTTTTCTTGTTGTGTTAAAAATTTGGATAAGTGCAGTTCATGTTTGACTAACAATACTAACTTTAACAATTGAGTTTGGATTGTAACTGATTATTGGTGCTAACAAAACTAATGCATTTTTGCTGTAAATTATTGTATATAGATAATATTCTGGTGAATACTCATATTAATAATTAAATTATTTAATAGGGAGCTCTTGAGTTTCTTTTCCCGTCTCATTCACCTCCTTGATAAGTTCTGTTCCTTGGATCCTTATATCTGGCATAATATTCTTTGATCTAGTTCCCTACTTCTTTCTCTAGCCATCAGTAACTGAACAACTGTTGTTAATGGCCTGTTTACATATGTGCGGGTTGATAATGCTGACTAACCAAACTTGGGGTAATTCGATCAAGTAAAGGGAGTCCACAGTTAAAATGCATCACTTATAAGTACTCGCCAAAAATAAGTGTCTCAACCGATTGTCATGAAATGTTCAGGGATTGATATTCTATACATATATAAGCTTGGTTTGCGTATCTTTATCTGACTCTATTTCTTCACCAAATCCAAATGCCCGAACTTTCATCTTAATTCCCCCCATTAGGGTTTGTACAACGGTTGAACGACAGTTTTATCTGCTTTCAACCATGATTTCAACATTTCTACGGAGCAGTGACAACTTTCGGATGCTTACGGAGCTCGTGCTTTATTATAGCCCAGTTTTCGATCGGCAGCATTTCCGGTGTGTTTGGGGGATTGAGATCCTTTGGTACGAAATTATTCCCATTCGTCTTGTATATCTCCAGAACGTCCTTGACAAGAGGCTAGAACCGGTCAAAAAATTGTAGGAACTTTGTGTGATTTGAGAAACGCAGGCAGTCGTTTCTTCAGGCACTCATTCATGTAGACTGTAGTTGTTGTAGGAGAAACAGCCCTATTGTTAAGCTACGTTAGCAGCGTTAGAAGCCTATTGTTGTGTATGGAGATCTCCATACACAACAACATGCCTGTTACGCTGCTAACGTACCGCAACAATAGGACTGTTTCCCTTTGTTGTTACGAAAGGCTTGTTCCGTTATCCGCAGGAACAAATCGCCTGCACCGTTCGAAAAATTATTGTAAATTTCTGCGAGACAAAGCGCACATAAAATTAACGCGATATTTCGTGTAAATTTAAGCAAAATATCGCATAAATTAGCAATATTGTATGCAAGCTTATCAAAGATTTCGCTGTTTATGCCAAGCATAGCTCAAAATTAAACGAAGGGAGATTTGACGCGATAGTTAAAATTCAGATTTTTTTTTCTGTGTGCCAAAGCATGAATTTCTTGGGAAACTTCGACACTTGCTGTTTCCTGAGGGACTCTGAAACATCGAACTTGTCTTTGACAATCACATACTGGTTCTCCGGAATTTGTTTGAAGTCCACTTTTACGTATGTTTCATCGTCCATGATACAGCAGTGTGATTTTGTCAACATTTGTGTGTACAGCTTACGGGCCCGCGTTCTAGCTGTCCTATTCTGCCGTTTATAGCGGTTTGGTGCTTTCTCAACCTTGAATGAACGTAGTCCCTTTCCGTAGTGAAATCCAAAATTTCACCCCATAATGGGGTGTTTACATATAAGCTGAACCAATTAGCACGAATTACTGTTACTCCTGAAATTTCATTCTTATATAAACCTGTTTACATTATGCTGCCCACTTTTTAGCACAGTTTTAGTACACTAGTTCTAGCACACCAGCATAGATATAAACACCCCATAATGGCCTGTTTACATATACGCTGGTTCACTAGCACAACCAGCGCAACCAACTAGCATGAATTTAAGTTGCTCCTGAAATCTCTGGTAGATGCTGACGCCCTGTTTACAGTATGCTGGCTACTTTTTAGTACAGTTCTAGTACACCAGCGCTAGGACACCAGCACAGATGCAACCCTTGAGCTTGGTTGCGTTGGTTGCGCTTGTGAACCAGCGTATATGTAAACAGGCCATAAGCGATTTCAATTGACCAGTTTTCATTAGACCAAATCATTCAAGCATTCGAAGACTGTTTTCGTACGAATGGTTCGAGCCTAGGTCTGGCGAAAACACATCGTAGTCTCCCCTCGGTTGGTAAACAAAGCAAATTGCATGAGCTGTGCATAACTCTCTTGTAACGATAGTCTCCGGTAGACATATGTGACTATACACGCGTAAAGTTCCTGGCCCAGACCTCAACAAGTGGATTTACTTTCGCGACCTCTTCATCAGGAAAATCAAAGGAGACTCGGGCAAATGGGGGGTCCAGCAGACCATCGCTCCCAAATTGTCCTCTCCTGGCCAAAATCTGGCCACACTCGCCTTTCCAACAACCTCAGTGGAAACGGTGATTTCCACAAGACCTACTCCCAATGCCACATTCATCACTCTGCATTTCCTATGCCGGACAGAGTTAATTGGAAATGCTATCTAACAAGAAGCTTTTAGTGTGATAACTTATTAGCTAGAGAATGATCTTAGAAGAGGGTTGGTAGATAGTTCTGTTAAAGTGCGGCAGTATAAAAATTGAATAGAGGTTGAAAATGAGTAACGCGACAGTGCAAGTCAAACGCACACTGGGGCTTTATGGGGTATTTACATCTGTGCGGATTTACTCGCGCTAGTGTACGCCCAACTAGCACGAATTTCAGTTTCTCCTGAAATTTCATGCTGGTAGACGCTGATGCTCTGTTCACATTATGCTAGTGAGCTTTTTACTAGCAGCTCGCTCATTAGCGCTAGTGAAATAGCATAAGTGTAAGCACTCCATTAGGTAGTGATGAACATGTCGCTAGAACTATTCCACATCCGCACGCAGTATTTGAGACGCACACTTCTTTGCCTATAGATTTGAAGACATACTTCAAATCTCTGCGTACATCTTACGGGTTAGGCAAAGAGTGTGCGTTTGACTTGCACTGTCGTTTTAATGGCCCTTCACTCATTTCAACTTCTATGCAATTTTCATACTGCCGTACTCTAACGGAACTATCTACCCACCCTCTTCTAAGAGCATTCTCTAGCTAATAAATTATCATACTAAGGTGATACGGCACGTTATGTAACAATGGCTGTCCCCACAATCATGAATTAAACGTGTTTTGATATGCGTACGAAAGACATCTTCCTACAAAATAGTAAATTACTAATTACATACCTTAAAAAATGGGCCAAAATTGTATGAATAAGATCTGGATACATGTTTGTACACTTTCTCACCAAAATATTACCAGTTCATTCACGCATTCGCAATATTTGCAGGAAAAAGTACGATCAGTCGATTTTGTTCTATTCTGGGCATGTAATTTAAATAACTGTTTTCACTAGCTTCCACTTTTCAGAACCATACTTAAAACAATTACGACACGTGCTTCTACAAGCACTTTCAATTTAATTCACTTTTAAAGATGATATTTACTTCAATAATATCATTTGCATCGTTAATAACACGAACCGCGAATAATTTTGTAAGCTGAAATTGTTTTGTTTACCTTTTTTCTACACACCACATTAAGAAAGTGTGTGTACAAATCATCTATCATCGTAACCAGTGTTGTCAATTAAATTGAAACAAAGTGTTTAAAAACAATGTTTTTATTGCTTTTGAAGGTTCTTCAGCTGTGTTCAATTTAGAAACCATCACTAATAAATATTAAAACAATACCTTATTTTGTTTTTTCCAGAAAAGAAATGGAAGTAAATAAACCTACAAATCTTCTATAGCGTACCTATTCGTCATTCTGGTTGCACTGGTTGAAGCCATCAGCTGATATTAAAAAGGCGGGAAAAGAATGATGCAAAAACATAAACATATACGATAAGAAAAAACGTACCTAGCGGCCAGTTCACATTTACCTACTTTTTACTTTGAGTATAATCACGATCATACTCACCTACTCTTGGGTACAACTGACTTACTTTTGGGTAGAAAGCGAATTTTCAATTCCATAAGATTTGAACACAAGTGAATGAAAGCTACTTTGACTCACTTTACCTACTTTTGGCTTCCTGTAATAAAGTGGCGAAATGTGTAAATAACTTACTTTTGGGTACTTTTTTCTTACCATGTACCTGGAGGTTTGAGTACTGGAATCATTTTTGGACCGGTCGTGTGTAACCAAAGTGTACAAAGTGTGGCTTTGAATTAATCAACTACTATGATTACTTGACTTGGTTGGCCTTAGTGGCTAGGCGTATGATATTTTTCTGTATAAAAAGGGATGTCCTTGGGAGGTGGTAGATCGTTAATTTTGGCAGATTGAATATAATTGAATAGAAATATAGTAATGGTGTCAATAATGGACGATAAATAGACATTCGACCTATTAATAACGAACTCTAGCAGCTATGTTTACGGTAGTTGCAACAGTGCATGATGTACACCCACACCCCTACAGCATCAATGATAATCATTTCACTGACACATAGAAACGAGAGAAAAAAAAAGCAAAAAAAGCGTGGCGTATCGTATCACCCTTAAAGCTTCATGTTAGAAAGCATTTCCAATCAACTCTGAAAATCGCAAACTTCGCATATGAAGTAACATAAAAACACTTTGAACACATTGAAAAAAAATCACAAATTATTGTAAAAAGCGTATGATGGTGGTCCTCACCCTCAAGTAAGGCAGGTGGTGTTCATTTCAAACGCTAATAACTTTTCGAGGTTTAGTCGGATTGATATCCGGTCGTGAGCAAAGTTATCCTCAATACTCCAAAGGTTCAACATTTTGTACATCTACAACACAACTTCGGCCGCAAATGTGTAAGTGGGTCGTTTCCCCATACATTTTGCCGATTTTTTCCACACAATCTTCAAGCCTTTTGAGGAAGGTGTTCCCGTGAACCAGATTACTTAAAATCTTGCAGGATGTTTTTAACCCACCAAACTACCATTCCAGGGGGTAGCATT